ATCTGAGTGGTTTTCACCAACTATATTTCTTGCAACTCTTGGGTATCTTCGTGCAAGCCCTCTGAGGCCACGGGCCGAGGTCTGGGCCCAGGACGTTCTGCAGCAGCTCGAAGTGCAGATCCCTGCTCCTTGTGACGCATCGGGCTATATTACGTTGCAGTATGTTATAATATAGATCATGTTGTAATTATTGTTATTATTTTTACGTTGGTTATTTCTATTATTGCTACGACTTATGACTATGAATTACTGTATTTTAGTGTTGTATTTTGCTACAGGCATCCTTGGTAGGAAATGGCTTTTCGGTGCGGTTCAGGTTGAGGCTTTAGGGTTTAGGGTTTAGGGGGTTTGGATTCTGAGCTCCAACAGTCTCCTGAACCCCGAGGCCAACACTCTAAACCCTAAGCTGTAAACCCGAAGCCCGTATGAGTTCTTCAAGCGCAGTAGCCAACAGGCCGATCCGGCCCCCGACGCTGACCTGGGCAACCGGCTCGCGTGCGTAGCGGAGTTCCTCCCTTCCTCCAACTACTACAGGGACCTATGCATCTTGGACTTTTGCCGGGAGGTGTGGGGAAGTCCTGGAAGAGGTGTGCTGAGTACTTGCTGTAGTTTGCGGTTTTTCTCCCTGCCTGGGCCTGCGCGCTGCAGTCTTGAAAATTTGCGCAGATTGGGCAGGTTCACGTTGTAACATATCCTCTATGTCCCTCCACAGTGCATGAGTCAAGCTTCAAAAGCCCGATGCAGGTATCTCATACATGCAGTATGCGCAGAATACGCTCAAATGGCAGACGAACATCTCGCCCTTCGCGGTGCAAGCCGTGTACTTAGCGATTGTCTCGACGTTTCCACCCTTTCGCTCCGTGAGGGAGGGAGAGTCCGAGTTACCTGCGGCCCTGTGGGCTCAGAAGCCTAAAGCCTTTAACCCGCAACCCCATGCCCTAGACCCTAAGCCCTAAATCCCTAACCCCTAAACCCCTAAACCCTAAACCTCTACACCCTTTCTAAGGTCGCCGAAGTGGGGAGGATGCTGTCGCAAATCTTCCTGAACCAGCCGAGGCCCACAGTGCCTGGTGCCGCACCTGGCCCCCTGGGCCCAGCCCTCCCTCGAAAAACAACAATTCTTAATGATTGTATTCATCTTCGAACACGTCTGCAAAAGTGTAGATACGAGATGCGGGACACCATCTGAGAAGACGGCGACAGATGTGGTTGATACTGTTGCTACTGCTACGGCTACTCCTTCCAGCATTAATGTTTCTTTTACTCTCACTCTTTCTCTTGCTTTCCTTCTCTCACTCTGACTCTTACACTGACTCTCGCTCGTGGAGGGCAAAAGTGACTCAGGGGGGGGACAAAATGACATGTCATTTTGGAAGTGGCCAGGAGGCGGATCGTGGATGCCGCGCAAGTAGTATCGGTTCAGGGCTTATAGGGTTTGGGTTTTGGGTTCAGGGTTTACGAATTTAGGATTGTAGGGTTTATGGGCTTAAGGTTTTCAATAGGATTTGGGTTTAGGGTTGCGTTCGTCCGGCGCACGCATCGATTCAGGATTTCGGGGTTTGGTTTCGTTTTGGGGTTGTAGTGTTTAGGGGTTTAAGGTTTAAATTAGGGTTTAGAGTGTAGGGTGGCGCGCCCCATGCACGCGCAGCGGTTTAGCGTTTGTAGGGCTTAGGGTATGGGCGGTATCGGTTTAGGGTGTAGGGGTTTGGGTTTGGGGTTGCAAGTTTAAAGTTCGGGGCTTAGGGCTTGGGGTCTTTATGGTTTTAAGGTTGAAGGGTTTATGGAAGTTTATGGTTCTAGGGTTAGGGTTACGCGCACGGATCGGTACAGGGCTTATAGGATTAAGGGCTTTAGGGGTTGGATTATTGCTTAGGGTAGCTTTAGGGGCTCGCCTGCGCGTGCACTGGTGTAGGGTTTAGGGATTAGGGTTCAGGGCAGGGTTTAGGGGCGCGCATGTAGATCATCAGATCCGAGGTTCGTTTGCTGCAGATGTGGCATGTTTCTGGATTTTCAAGCCCAGGTGCTTCTCATTTGTGGCTCTCTCAACTTCTATGCAAGCTGCTGAGACGGCACTGGGGATGGGAGTTGTAAGGTCTGTCGCATGCCAATGGTGATATGCGAAACACGCCGAGACCGTTGAAATGCAGCACGACATGACACGACACCATTCACTGTGCACACCAAGGCAGCTTCTTCTTTATGAAGATGAATCAGATTGTGTTCCGCTCTGTGTGGTGCTCGGCGGTGGCATTTCGGTTTGATGGCTTTCAGTGCGGGCTGCTTCAATCATGTCGGAGTGGGCACGATGGTCAAGCTTCCTGGTCACTGCAGTTCACAGCTTTGCAGGTTATCTCCTGGGCGCCCTGGGATAAGCATTTGCTGGATACAGTGGGTACAGGACCAGCTTCACTTCGGGGCTCCCCTTTGTGCGGGAGACTCAAGTCTCGATGCTGGACACTTCAGGGCGTGCTTGTCATTTATGTGTCTTCACCTGTGGCATCTGCTTACAATGCACCTCCAGCGTCAAGTATAGAATTCTTCTGACCCAGACGAAACAGCTTGCCAACGGGTCCCCTCTATGTTGGATACTTCTCGCAAACTTGCCGACGGTAAACCCCACACCCTGGAGCCTGAAGCTGAACCCGAAGTGTGAAACTCCCTGAACACCAAAGACAAATGAACCCCGAACCCCAAACCCGACCATGTACAACGCGAACATCCAGAACCTTATGAAGCCCTTGCACGCCAGACCTGGTAGGATCCCGCTATCGACACTTCATGGAACCTTCCTAAACCCTGAGCCCCCAATCCCGTACAGCAAAAGTAGAAGAAACTCTACAGCAATGCTAATCGCAACCCTATCAGTAAGCTTATTCTAACCCTGATCGTAAACTGGAATCCTCATGAAACGCTCAGTCCTTGAGCCCTCAAATTCTGCACCCTTAATTCCAAAACTGCAGTCCTTACAAGGAACTGTCGCTAAACCCCAAACAAAAAATGCAAGTAGTAACTGTTATACTGACTCGTTAACACCTGCTCTAATGACCCTTATGGTGGACCCTTATAACAACCGTTTAGTAACACCCTATTTAAGCCCCGATTGTCATGCCATACATTCCTGCAAACCCAGTAAAGTAGTCCTACAGAACCTCATACGACTGCCATCGACACCCGATAAGCCCGCTAAACCCCTCTAGTCATCCTACGCAAACCGCATACAACCCCAAGCCTTAAACCCCTAAACCCCTAAATCCCTAAACCCACAGCCCTCTCGGGTTTAGGCTTTAGGGTTTATGTTTAGGGTTAGCCAGGAGGGAGCTCCCTCAAGTACCGTTACCTGGAGCCCGTGCCGTGGCCCTCCACGAGCCCGGAATGCATTTGGGAGTTTCCGAAAATTGGGGGTACCTTATTTTGGGGTCCTTATAATAGGGATCCTACTGTTTAGGGTACTATATTAGGGTCCCCTATTTTCGGAAGCTCCCATTTGGGCTTCAGGGATTTGGGGTTCAAGGGTCTGGGTTCAGGGCTTAGGGTTTTGGCTGCAGGAATTTGCGGAAAAGTGTTCAGGATTTTTTGTTTTGGGGTTTAGAGGTTTAGTCACCTTTTCGTAAGTCTTGTAGTAACCCTTAGCAATAATGGCAATAATAAACTGTCATCATGATACTGAGCGCAATCGTAAGGCTACTGAACAACAAGGATTCTCGCAGTTCTTCCTGCTGCCGGTTTTGGATTATTTTGAGTGGTTTCGCTGCAGACTTGTGCCACACATCTGCATGTCTGAGGACGTGGATGCCTCCATTTGGAGTTCAGGTTCAGACAGCATTCCTGCTCCTGCAGCACCCAGCCTAGGACAGAGATGATCCGGACTGGCACTCGCAGCACTGATCCGTTCACTGTGCCTTGATGCACGGACTCAGCTTAAACTTGTCCACAGCTGGGCCCAAGGTGCAGGCTTGCTGCACACCGCCCAAGCGCAGTTTGTCCAGAGGTTGTCCGACTTTTCGGGCAGAATAGCATAGTTCCGCCCGTCATGAGGTGCTGGCTAGCTTGCAGGAGGACTACCAGACTGTTTCCAACAAGGACAGCTGTTTTTTTTAGGTGTCTCCGCTGATGTGCTACGAGCGGTTGCATGCTTCACCAAAACATAGAATGAAACCGCAAAGAGGGTTGCACTCTTCTTTGTGTCTGTTAAGCTTCACGCAGCGTGGGAAGGGTTGTCGTCGCAATTTCCCTTGGTGTGGTTTTCCACACCAATCAGCATCGCTTTCGTACCTACACAGGTTCTTTGCGTGTACTAGTCTTGCTCGGAAAGCATGGGGCGGCCTTGAAAAAGCTTTGCGCAAAGGTTTCGCCACCAGCACCCGTTGCAATCCCAGTGTTGCGCAAGATTTCGTTTGCACGCGGCACACCATCGTGCACCGATGTGCACCATACCACTCTTGGAAGTAAGGCTGCATTTTGGTTGGCGTTTTCCGTCAGAACAGATTGTGGATCCTGCAAAGTCGGAGATGCCTCTCTGAAGATTGCCAAATCCAGGATTTGGCCCGCTACGGCAATTTCCCTCCCCCGCTGCTCTTCCTGATGTCGGCCGCTTGCCTAAGTTGTACCAGCACTGGACGTGTCGAAATCGGGGGTGCTGCACTCTCTCTCTCTCTCTCTCTCTCTCTCTCTCTTTCTCTCTCTCTCTCTCTCTGTCTCTCTCTCTCTCTTTCTTTCTTTCTCTGTTTG